TATATATATATATATTTTGGGTTTTACATCGGTCTAATTTTATTCAACTGGAAAGTAAGTCTGATAATAAATTATTTTCATCAAAAGTCAAATTCGGATATTGTCTAAACAAATCAATTTTAAATTCAACACATTAATCACTTGTTCCCAATTTCTTGATTATATATAAATTCTTATAATTTTTTTATCTAATTCAATTTTTATTTATTATAATTTTTTATGAATTAAATATTAATATTTTAAAATAATTATTAATATATTTATATTACAATAAATTATATATCATAAATCTAAAATATAATTTATTTATTTATATATAATTTATTATGAATTTTAATTATATATAAAAAAAATATGTCTGTATATACTAAAATACTAGTAAAAGTATATGTTTTGAACTCTATCGTACTAAAAAAGAAAAACTTTGTTTCATATAAATCATTAAAAAATTTTGGTATCAATTCTAGTGGTATTAATATTTTTCTTAATATGACTGGTCAGTAAAAAAAGGAGAGTATGGTATTCTTTATTTTTAAAAACAATGTTAAAATTAGTTTTTCTTAATTAATATTGAGTATAATAAATGTTTATAAATCACCATTAATTAAAGTTACTTTGTATTAATAAATTATTTTTAATAATTGTTAAATTTTAAATATTTATATTTTATTTATAATTTTGATAATTAATAAAAACAATTTTTTTCTTTTACAAGAATTAAATTTGGGTAACGACATATTAATCATTTGTGCTTAATTCTTTTATCAAAATAATCTTATTTCAAATATCTTTTGATTGATTTATTTATATTTTACCTATATTTTAAACTACTTATATACCTTATAGTGTTTGGAGTATTAAAAAAGGAGAAAGATTGAATAAGAATAGGTTTGGTGGGACACGTCAATGAAACCCCCATGTTCTGATCTGGCAAGCCAAGTAATGCCAGCCTAGCATTTTCGACACATTATTGTTGCGGGTCCCATTTTTACATTCTCCTCTAATAATTCTCAAATAATGCACTGCGGTGAACAGATTATAAATTTAACCAACACCTAATAAACAATTATTATCGAATAATCCAAATTTCCATAATAAAAATTCATGTGAATAACAGTTTTATTTTTTTTAGCTCTATAATTTTGTCTTTTTCTTTTAATTCTCACAGCTACCAAAAGCTGTTTGATCGAGTTTACTATCTTCACCATAAAATATACTAACTTTACTAGATGGAGAAGTGAAATCTACATGAGTGATATATGTATTTTGAAAAGAATTAAATTTTGACTATTTGTTTAATTTTTAACTATTAGTTGGAAGATATTTAAAAAATTGCAGCGCAAATCATTTTAATTATTCGTGGTTGTTTCGTACGGGCAACAAATATCATTTTTAGTAATTATAAGGTAGATAAAAAAAATTAAAAAAAATTATATTTTCGTAATTTTGTCTATAAGATGTTTCTTTTATAGTTAGTAAAATTATTTTTAAAAAACATTCATGTGAAAGAATAGATGATAAAAAGTTGTTATTGGAAATTATATTTTAAATATGAATTAAAATGATTAATTTATATTTAATTTTTAACATTTTCTTCTTAGAAATAATTTAATTTCAAATATTATTTTTTTAAATCATTGTTCCATATAAAAATCTTAAATGTTTATAAATTAAAGTTTGTATTGAGTAACTTATGTTTGTTTTTACGCCATTATCATATTTAATGTTTATTTTGACTAATTATAATTTAATCATATAAGTTTGTGCGATTTTTCATATTTTCGAAGATGCTACTAATTATAGGCCAATAATAGATTGAGGGCTGAAAAACAACTTTCACACTTAGTTATGTCTTATACTCTATTAGAACATAATTTTTTTGCCAATTATATATTTCTTAGGCAACAATTATGTTATTTAGAAGTTCATTGAGCTTCCACATTCTTCTTATCATTAGCTTATAGGTTTTAATATGTTGATGGTTTAAATGAAGTTTTCTCAACTTTCTTAAAATTAATAATACTAACAATTTTCACGGAGTACATTCTTCTTATCATTAGCTTCTAGGTTTTAATATGTTGATGGTTTAAATGAAGTTTTCTCAACTTTCTTAAAATTAATAATACTAACAATTTTCACGGAGTTGTTGATGACCGGGGAACTTTAAGCATTCAGTTTACAAATTGTCACTTATTATTTTTACAGCATACAGGAAATAGGATTGCTAACTAATTCTTTAGCAAAGTTATCTCTTTCTTACAATAATGCGTTAAATTTAAATAGAAGATATTCATACTAATATAACTAAATCCTCTTATAAACTCTTATGTATATAAGCTATGATTTCTTCCCTTTGATCGAATAAATAGTGCTACATTTGCACTTCAAATAAATAATAAAATGCCAACATTTCAAATTATTGTAACTCTTATGCATATAATCTTTTTGTCTTTGGATTTAATGGATTTTATAAATCCAACAATTGCAAACACAAGTTTTTTACTCGATTTGCTCAACATTTATTCTAAATGTTGTAATATGTTTTACTTTATTACAGGTTATATATTTTATCTTATTTTATGATACATATGTTGTCATGTGTTGGATTTTTGTGATTTGTTCACCCATTGCCATTTTTTGTCTCTCTTGTGAACCATTTATATTTAGCAATTTTTCTACCTCATAATGACATTTTATGCACAGATTTCATGGCTAATCTTACCTCACTATTCACTAAATTGGTTCGATTCAAAGTTACTTTCAATGAATTTAGATTTAAGAAATTATATATGTGTATTTTGAAAAAAGAGTTTGATCAAATTATATATTCTTATCGTTAGTATAATTCAATTTTATATATTTTTTAAAGAATTATTGATAATATAATTTTTTTAACTTAACAATGAATAATATTTAATAATAACATGATATTATATTTATTTTGATGTTATTTATCTTGAAATATATATTATAAAATATTTTTTAATTGTAGTTGTATATTTTCAAACTATATAATTTATTTATATTTTTTTTAACTAATATTATGATTTATGCCTCCAGGTCGGGTTATATATTTTTTTAATGGCGAGTTGGTTCCCATTATTTTATTATTATTATTATTATTATTATTTATATATACTGTACATTTTTCCCAGAAGAAATGCACTATTTTCCATCATTAAAGACTTGATCTTCAATCAAACTGAAATGACAAGTAATTTTTATGAATACAAAATTATATCTTACTACGATTTTTCTTTATTTCTTTTAGTATTAAAGGTTGTGTTAATATTAAATTAGTAAACAAGATTTGGTTTAAAGGAAAAAACAATAAAGTTAAAATTAACCATTTCATAAATAAGCTAATGAGAAAAGATAGAATAACCTTTCTCTCTCTCTTTTTTTCACACAAAATCAAATATGAATTTCAAGTGGTCGACTTAATTACTTTTCACATATGAAAAATCGCCAAACACCTTTCAAATCACAAAATAAAATATAAAAAATAATCTGTTCATTCTTTTTTTAATCAATTTCTTTCACTAAATTTCCTCAATCTTGATACAAGTAAAACCCGTTTGTGTATAAACAATGTTTTCTTCTATTTAGTACTAAGAGAAATCTTTGATAAAAGAAAAATCAAATCAAATCCCTATCTTTTCCTCTTGGGAGAAATGTGAAATCAAATCAAATTTTACATAGAATTCCAAACCAAACTAGATTAGATTTGCAAGCGGCATTTCTAAAATATTATATAAGAGCAATGATTAAAGAAGGGAGAAGTGTCACTTGTTCACATAGTCACATGCCTCTAAAGTGAGAATTACGTAATTAATTACTTTACAAATTTAACCAAATCTTAATCAACGAGCACACTATATGTTACTTCTCTCAAAACTCATAACTCATAAGCACATTGACCCTCATCGATCTCCATTTCGGTGAAGGTATTTTGGTGTCGGCAAGAGGGAACCATAAATTGATATTAATGAAAAGATTAATGAGAAATAAAAAAATGGAAATCATTGTTTGATATTAATCATTTAAATTTTATAATCCACTGTCCTTGTTGTATGCGTGGAAATTTGTTTAATATAGTACATAATAAGGAAAATGAAATGCAGAGCTGGCATTTTCCTTTATAGCCGTCGCTTTCTACTACCTCCCCCTGTTTGTTTTATTGTTTCTAGTACTTGGTTGGCATTATATACGAAATAGCACTTCTTCTCTTCCTCTTCTTCTGTCCTTATGTTCTTGTTCTAGTTCTACCCTCTTCTTCACTCCACACTCTTCTTCCAGAGCTTGCTAATTCTCTTTCTTGGGGCTGAACAAGAGGGGCACAGACCCATGAAGAGGCTAGTAAGTACGTTGTTAACAAATTAGAAGAAAAAAAATTGTTTTTTTTTTTTTTTTCACCGTGGGGGTTCTTTTGTTTTGAATTCGGTTGCAGCCTGTAAAAAAAATCATTTTTTTTAATTTTAATTTTTACCCCAACACCCAGAATTGATCTCGATGTTTGTTATAGTTTTTGTAGTGACTTGGAAGGTTAAATTGTGTTATAATGTGTCTGGGCTGTAATCATAGATTACGTCAACCCCTTGTTGTCAAGATCAATTCTCGGATTGAAAAGGATTTTGCCCAAGCAAATTTAGTGAATATAGGTTGGTGATTGATTATGCCGTGGCAGGTTGTTATGACATTGTTTTCTTGTCTCTGAAAAATTGGTCTAGAGATCCTTTAGTTAATGTTTATGGTTTATTGTTTTCTCCTGGCCTTTTCATAAAAGTGTCTAGCTGGAAATTTTCTATTAATGCTCTGTTAGTTCGAATTACGTGTTCAATTTGGTTTCCAATTATCCTAAATATACCTATTCTAAGTTAAGTAACCATCTTGTAATTTCCCTGGAACGATTTTGAAAATTATATCCGACATAATTATTTTGCTTATAGGTTGTTAATTTTAGGGTGTTTCACAAATATTCATGGGTTCTTGCCTTTTGAAAATATGAAGTGTTCATACCTTTAATGTCAAATTGCATCTATTGTCTGTTTGCTTCTGTAGATTATTTTTCCTTTCTCTATGTTCGGTCCAATTGCTACCATCTAGCAACCCAAAGGCAAAATCTCTTCAAGAGGAAGCTCAAATGGAATATTTATTTGGCTCTTCAAGCTATTGTTTTTGGGTGACTTTAATTTTCATCATATCTTCTGTTTGGGACTCTGTGTCCACATTGCTCTACAGTTCTTACTCAATTAGCGGTGTGCTTTAAATTTTCTCGGGTTCTTTTTTTCTTTCCAGGTAACTGTGCTTTTACTTATAGTATTAAGCACTGCTCTGGAAGGCAATGGAGAGGATGATCATCAAGCATGTAAACAGAAAGCGGTGGTTCCTAGGCCTCACAGTGTGTCAATATTAGAGTTTGGGGCAGTTGGAGATGGAAAAACATTGAACACAGTTGCATTCCAAAATGCAGTTTTTTATGCCAAGTCATTTGCTGACAAAGGTGGTGCTAAATTATATGTTCCATCTGGCAAGTGGCTTACCGGAAGTTTTAACCTTACCAGCCACCTCACTCTCTTCCTTGAAAGAGGCGCAACCATCATTGCATCACAGGTTTTAATCAATAACTTGAATTTTAGCCCCTTTCCAATTGCCTTGTCCATTTCATAGACAAAAACTGAGGTTATCAAACAGATTTGTTTCTTCAACTCTATCAATACTGTATCTCAGGAAATTCAATCGGGGTGGGAAATTTATGGTAGTTAGTATTTGGCAATTGGCAGCATTCTATATTTTTCCACCAAACTAAATCACACTTTCTCTGAAAAATAATGATAGTATTTGGAAATTGACAGCATTCTATATTTTTTCATCAAACTATATGTTTTTAGTAAAGTAAAAAAAAAAAAAAAAAATCTGCTGGAGAAATAGAATCAACTCCTTAATGGCATTCTTCAAATCTTGCCTAATGTTAATGTTGTAATCGTGCATGTCACACTTTTGGAGCATAATAGTATATCTGAAGTGATTTTTTTTACAATCTACAGGAGGAAACTGCCAATGATCAAATATTTAATGGTGCTAATTTTGCTTACTGGAAAAGTTGACACGTTATTTATTTTATATCATTTCAGGATTATGAACACTGGACTGCAGTGGATCCCCTACCTTCCTATGGTCGAGGAATTGATGTTCCTGGTAGGAGATACAGCAGTTTGATTTATGGACAGAACTTAAGTGATGTGGTGATTACAGGCAGGAATATTCTTCTATTACAATTTTACTAAGTATTTCTCTGATAGTATGAAAATTGCTAGCTATCATACTTAAATTGATGTATTTAATAAATGCAACAGGTGATAATGGAATTATTGATGGTCAGGGTTCTGTTTGGTGGGACCTATTTAAGACTCATTCCTTAAATAACAGCAGACCACACATTATAGAACTTGTTGGTTCTGATAACATCATTATCTCAAATTTGACATTTTTAAACTCTCCTGCTTGGAGCATCCATCCGGTATATTGCAGGTACAAATGGTTCATGCTTGTGTCACTGACTTATTTCTTAAATGGAACTGTTCTGATTTATATGTATATTCTTTACACAATGCATGCAGCAACGTTCAAATCCACAACATAACAGCTCATGCACCAACCGATTCCCCTTACACAAGTGGCATAGTTCCAGGTAATTGAGAAAATTATTAGTTGTGACTTTTCAGATTAGCGATGCAGTACACAACCCTCACACCTTTGAATCATGAATTTTTAGTTGTCTAAAAACTTTTATTTAGCTAGCAGTAAGAGTTCGTTCTAAATATCATTGAAGAAAGGGTACCTTCCTCAATTCCAACATTTGGTGTATGCCCTTTCACAAATTTTCAGATTTTGTTTATTCCTCTATATTTCTATATTCAACACGTGGGTTAGCATGTAGTGACAGTTTCATGTACCCTGCTTTTCTTGGAGCTTGTTCTGTGAACTGTTTTTTTGTAGGCATTTTGAATGTCATTAGTATGTGCTACTTGCAGATTCTTCTCAGTACGTTTGCATTGAGAACAGCAATATTAACACTGGTCATGATGCGATTGCGCTGAAGAGTGGCTGGGATCAATATGGCATTGCCTATGGCAAACCAACCTCAAACGTCCACATCAGGCGTGTTTATCTACAATCATCTACTGGCGCTGGCCTAGCATTTGGAAGTGAGATGTCTGGAGGCATATCTGATATAGTTGCAGAGAAGCTCCACATTATGAACTCGACCATTGGCATTGAACTGAAGACAACTAGGGGTAGAGGTGGCTATATGAAAAACATCTTTATTTCGGATGCAAAATTGGAAAATATTTTCTTGGGTATCAGCATGACAGGATACTATGGTTCCCATCCAGATGACAAGTATGATCCTAATGCAGTTCCAGGTGTTGGTAATATTACTTTTGAGAATGTGATTGGTGCAGATATTGCTATTGCTGGGAATTTTTCAGGAATAATTGATTCCCCATTCACTCCTATCTGTCTCTCAAACGTGACTTTTTCTACCAGTTCTGAGTCATCTCCTTCATGGTTTTGTTCTAATGTAAAGGGAATCTCTGAGGAGGTGTTTCCTGAGCCATGTCCTGATCTGCAGCACACGTATTCAAACTTCCCTTCTTGCATTTCTTCCCTTCATTCGTCATCTAGTTATGTCTCAAGCGCATGAGATCATCATCTCCAAGAATCTAGTCATTCCTTTGATTCAACCTGTACATGAGACACAAAATTCATATTCTCCATCAGGAACTTCATTACAATTTTCCAATAAAGGAAATTCTTGATGTAAAGTTGTTCTTTCTCTTCAACATTTCAATGAACCTTCCTCTTTTCTGTGCATGAAAAGGTCGTCTAGAGTGGTGTCAATTCCGAATTGGTATATTTTATGTACAGCCCCAATTTCTTCATTCATGTACAAGAAATTTTTGATGTTGGTGTACAGCCTAAGACTATTTCTATTTGCCATCAATTTACCATGTACAATATGGAGTGCTACATTGTGAGGGTGTGTGGTGTGACAAAACTACGGTTTTCTTTGCATAGACGACTGGATTAATCTTGAGTATCTTTGTTCATTGTTTCTTGACATTGCATAATCATACGTGAGAATGATATTATTACCTTTGAATTTTAGGGTGTTATATTTTGTTGTCATGACATGACAATTACCAAGTACTTCCATTCCTTAACAAATGAAGATAGGAATCATGGGAGTGATCTTAATGTCGGGTTAATGGTTTTGATTCATCAAAAGCATTTTCCAATTGCTAGACAGCTATTCTTAACTGAACATAACCTGGTGGCAGTGGCAAGGCTATTTCCTTGTCACCACTAATTCTAGCAATGGTAGTTCAATGTCCCACGCACACTTCTTGGGAACCCATAAGAACTCACGTCAACTTTGTTATGGGAGCAGCACTAAACTTGCATCTGACATGCAAAACATGGTGATCATTATCATCAAATCTACGGGTGACACGTTCCATCAATTAGTGTGAAGGTACCTGAATTATGCAAACAACTTGTGACTTGTAAGGAATCTCAAGCTCTGATAGGACATGCTTAATGTTTATCTTAGTGATACGACTATGATGGGTTACGATTATGAACTCCCAACTTCAGCCACGCCAGGTGGCAACCCTTTAAGGCGAATCTAAGCAAAGTTGGTCTATTCTGAGAATCTTTTAAAGATGGTTTGATCCAACCATTTTTATTCAAAATATGACTTAAAATATAGCATAAATTAAAATTGCCTTCCACTTTGTCTGCATCCAACGTTGTATGTTTCCACTTTTTTGGATCGGGCGGGACAAGGTTTGGCTTCCAATTTCTCCAAGATTGATAAAAAAAACATTAAAGACACCACTAATAGATGAAACCTCCCAGAATAGATACTTCATATTTGTCCTACTTTTTTTTGGTAATTTGTTTATATCTTATTTTACATCAGATTATTTATGATCCTTCCATTAATCTCGACAATAATAAATAGTAATTACCGCATAAAAAATCTATTATCCTCTTTCTTATGATCAATTAACAGTGATTACGGGAAAAAATGGTATACGTTCATTAATCAAAACACTACAGGGAACACAATTTTTTTATTTTTTTAGATCCGAGATTGAACTTAACTACTAGTTAAGAAGAGGGGACTAATCTCTTAACAATGTAAAGTATCAATTAAGGAATAACTTTTCTAGCCACAAATGTTGCTCTATTCGTTTAGTCAGATATTGAACTCCTAACATATGCTTAAAGAGTCAAAGCTACTAACCACTTGTATCATCCGAGTTCTGAAAGCACATAGATGTAACAACTGTATCCTATAAAGAAGAAAAGATTGCTCGAGAATCTTGTTATCTTGTTTGTTACAACTTACAATATATATATATATACATTGTTTTGATAAGTGAGATAGTTTTTAATATATTAATTAATGATATTATTTTCAGGATGATTTGATTAGAAGTTAAAATCCATATTCATGACCTAAAAATGTAGCCTAAGTAATTAAGGAATCTTAATCAAGATTCAATCCTTACTTGAGATATAGAGTCACGATGGAAGGTACCATTTTTATAAGGGTTGACTTAGTGAGAAGGAACTATGTTTCCTTATAAAAAAAATGTAATTTAAGTAGATGAAACCCTTTAAGTCTTTGACATTAGTGGTTAGGTACTTGCGTTCTTTAGATTTTAATCAAACATCAATATTTGATTCTTAACATGGAGATAGAGTTGTAAGTATTCCAAAACTAATAATCAATGACTGATATGCACTTACAAGATATGACTTATGCTGACCAACCAATATCTTAATATTAACAAAATCAATGATCCTAAGAACATCAGATCAACTCCTATATCCTAGGGAGACCTTACAACCACTGAAACAAGAGACTTAATTATAATAATGCAATTTGACAATGTTTATAAAGGTTTATTATGTATAAGATGTATAAAGCCTTATAAATGATTTTTAACAAGAATATTTACTAATATTTTTTTTTCATTTTGAAATTTGTTCAACGGAAAAGTATGTTACATTTGGTATTATTTTTTTTTTATATTAAACGTATTTTAAAAAATATCCATTGAATTGAACATAATTTATAATCAAAATTATCAAATAGAAAATTAATTCACTTTTCATATTCTAATTTTTATCTTAAATAAAAAATTATTATCAAATTATTATAAATACATTTAAATGATTTAACACTATATAATAAAATTTTAATAAAAGAATTCGTGTATCACTGGGATATTATTACTTACTAGTTAGGATGTTACATAACATTCAGTGTAAAAGATTTTGGCAGCATGTTAGGATGCATACTCTAAACTCCAACATTTGTCCCCAGCCTTAACATTATCCAGATGCTACATATTCATAATTATCCTTCTGTTTGCAACAAAGATATCCTAAGTGCTAGATTTGCGGGTCATGGGCAACAAATATTTCTCTAGCGATTATGATTGTTTATCTTGTAGGCCAAAGCCCATCCATTCGTCAAACATTTTTACTTCCATACAGCAAATAATTATGGCCCACAACAACGGGGCAAATATTTTCTTTTTCGTCATCACTCTGTTCACCAACATTATAGGTACCAAACAATGTACCTAACTAGGAATTTATTACCTTGTCTCCAAAAGAATTATTAGTTCAATAATAACAAAAGACCACTCTCCAACAGTGAATTTCATTGTGCCCAATCCTGTTCCTAGAGGCGAGAAATGAATACCTATACATTATCAATTGTCTCAAACTCTAAATCTAGCCATAACTTAATTGATAAATAAGTTTCAATCGTTTAATAGTTTGATTTGTGCTTACTTAAAAAGACTTGCAAAGCGAATAGTCTCCACATCTTTATATATAAAAATATTGTAAGACTACAAAAAAGATATTGAATGCACAAGAAGCAAATTATGGATCTCAAATCATTTAGAATTAAATCATCAAATTAGATAACCCTCCACGCATAGTGGTCAATTGGTCATCATGAGAGAAATGACTTCTCTTCCATCTTTGTGGAACAGCGAAAGCTAGTCCTTATTAGCAAGTTTGGAAATCCAGTAGAAGACCATAAAATGACATTTGGGATTGCAATGGACCTTTATGTAGTGCTTAGTGGTGGAAATGGGTTATTTAAAAGATCAAAGATTGATTTGTTTCTCAAATTTAAGGTTTCAGATTAGCTTATTCTGAAAGTCTATTTTATATAGTAAAACATTTTAAACAAGTTGAAATTTTAGCTCTATAGTTTAGTGGATCTAAACTTATATCTAAATCAGTAGACCAAGTCTTTTAAATAGAAATTTGTGAAACAAGTTTAAATTCATAAAAGATCAAAAAGTATATTTTAGCCTATAAAATAGGTTGTTATGCTGTCATCCAATAATGATGTCTTGTCGTATCACTCAAAAGTTTAATATGTTTTCAAACGAATCGAATAATATGATTGCATTATTGAATGGCAATATTAATTTTTAACATAGCGTATACAAAAATTAAATTCATGTTTCATTTACATAATTGCTCAACACTCACTCATCTTAGCCTATAATAAATCAGACAAGAAAAGGAGAGAAACAAGTGAAAAATCAAAGGACAGCACAGCTTTACAAGGAAATAGACTTAACCAGAAGTTACAAATCAGACCATTCTTGCAATTTTGACCATTGCAGTGGTCTTGGAATTTTTACATCACCTAAAAGCTAGTGTAAAATGCACAAAAAAAAAATGTTATGCACCCAATCCCATGGTACAAGCAACGGGCATTATTGCTCCATTATCTGTGTAAATACAAGTTACAAAACTTACAAACAAAAGCCCAAAAAAGAAAAAAAAAATGAAATATTAATGCAAAAGCTCTCGATCTAAAAAAATGAAAGAAAAAAAAAATCACCCTTTTAATGTTCCAAATAAATAACATATTTACTTTCTACTCCCAGTTTTACGTTTCATGTCAACTGGAGCTGGATGTCTTCCTGTTCGATGTGAGACTACACCGGTTGGTTGTTTCCGTGAAGGAGAAGGACCAAGAGAAGAATGAATATTACTCTTGCTGCAAACAGGGACGGAGCCAGGATTTCAATACTGGGGGCCGAGAATAAATAATATATAATTTATAATAAATGAAAATTAAAGTATCAAAAGCATATAAAAAAAAATATAAAAAAAAACATGTATGAAGTTGTCTGCATGCATGTTTCTTTCATCTTAGTTTTTGAAAAATATTAAGCTATAGAAAAAAATGATTATTTCTTCAAAGTAAACTTAATGCAAACATGCATGCATAAAGAAGCATTGTCAAAGACCCTTTTAGCATTACCTCAATCCTGTGCTATTTGTGGGTTTTGAGACAGGCTTCCGAGCCTTTGATCCATTACCATTGGCTATGCTGGTGGTAAGTTTGGAATGATTAAATTGCCAAAGCAAGTCAGGTTCTGAGGAATCAGTGGTTGCATCATCAAGATCATCCATTCCATCTGAACCAGCAATGTTAAACTGGTTCCCTCCCATGAACATGTTGTAGGATCTTTCTGAGTATATTTTGGAAGAATCTTGGAGATATTTCTGATAAAAGGCCTCGGATAAGTTCCCAGTGTCTGCTTCCCAACACCCTAAGATGTTCTCAGTTTTGTTTGCATCTAGTTTGTTTACCATGACTTTATCAACCCACTCTCCTGAACCAGTTTCTTTGTCATCTTCCCTGTAGTTTTGTCCTGGACTATTCACTGGGGGCCAGGGAGGTGAATTCGTTGACATCTCATCAAAATCATAGCTCTGAGTTTTTTGTCTCAATGCGCTATTACTGTGAAGCTGCAGGATTAATGGTTCAAACTTCAGATTCCATCACAGTTCTATAAACAATGGCATTATAGCAACTATAATAAAAAATTGCATGATCAATTTTTCTCGTGTTACCTAACCAGGAAAGAGAAATGGGAAATTATAGAAACCAACAAAAAAACTGAAAAGTTCTATTAAGTGAGAATAGGAGAACAAATTCTCCTCCAAGCCAAGGTTTCCCCTTCACAAAGGTTTCTCCTTTTCTGACAAGCTTTCTGTCTCTCTGAATGAATCTTTCCCTCCATATTCCCCCTATTTATCTAC